TTCAAGACGGGTCGGATAGATGACCGGCTTTTACATGGGGAGCGAGTACGAGAGCATTAACTGGACCGATCTAAATGAAAAGCACGTGTCGCATGCGACCGTAACTTACAATCAGATCGAACCAATAAATGCCCGTAAACCATACTCAAATGTCCAAGACAAAAGATGCTAACGCTGTTTGGGTACCAGCAAGCTGGCCTCAAAACGGCGGTTACAAATCTGCCTCAAACATCCCCAAGCACCAAACAAGCAAATGCATCACAGAAAATTATGATGCTTCTTTCTGTCCCAATCTGGAGCTCAGAGATCACAACATAAAAATAATGTAAATGAATACTTGAAAGATACGCCGAATCTATCCGTTTCCACCTCTCCGGTTTCACGTCCTCTTTAACTCTCTCTTCAAAGTGCTTTGCAACTTTCCTTCACAGTACTTGTTTGCTATCGGTCTCGTGGCAATATTGAGTCTTAGATGAAGTTTACCACCGACTTTGGGCTGCGATCCCAAACAACCCGACTCTAAAGCACGTAAATATCGATCAATTATCTCAATGTACAGGACTTGCACCTTCTGTGGAACCCCTGTCAAGGGGACTTATTTGAGACAAAAGATTAAAAATTACGGCTTATACGCTACACCTCATAATGCCTTAGGCAAAATGATTTAGCGATGGACATTTCCCTATTCACTCGCCGTTACTAGGGGAATCCTGTTTAGTTTCTTTTCCTCCGCTTACTGATATGCTTAAGTTCAGCGGGTGCTCTCGACTGAGTTCAGGTCAAAAAATCAATATTGTTGATGATACATGCGAACAATTAAACATATCTAACAATCAATTTAAAACATAAAGAAGCCACAAAAGCAATTATACAATAAAGCTTTCGCTTTGAAAGATAATGACCCTGAACCAGACATAGCAAAGGGTTTGACCCCTATGCGGCAATATGCGTTCAAAACTTTTATGCTCAAGGCTGCTGCAGTTCGCAAAACTTATCGCAGTTTGCTGCGTTCTTCATCGATCCACGAGCCTAGTGATCCACCGGAAAGGCTAGGAATTTTGTTTTTTTTTAAATATAAAAAAAGAGTGCTGGCGTCCTCACTTAAGAGGCTCATTAAGTCTTAAACTCATTATAGTCCTAACATGTCACCACATATACAGCCACGGACGTTCACAACTGTATCAGCAACACCTAGACACCAGCGACAGCCGTTACACAACAATTATTTCATTGCGATTCAAAATTGAACATCACATAAAGTAATGATCCAGCAGCAGGTTCACCTACAGCTACCTTGTTACGACTTTTGCCCGGTTCAAGCCACTGCGATTAAATTGGTTTCCATCAAAATAATTTAGATAAATTAAATCAACGGTCCCCAAATTTCTCGAAATGGCTCAGTCCCGGGCAGCGACGGGCGGTGTGTACAAAGGGCAGGGACGTAATCAACGCGAGCTGATGACTCGCACTTACTTGGAATTCCTCGTTCACGGAAAATAATTGCAATTTCCGATCCCAATCACGGCAAATTTTCAATGGTTTACCCGCCCCTTTCAGGGTAGGACAAGCACGTTGATTTTGCCAGTGTAGCGCGCGTGCAGCCCCGGACATCTAAGGGCATCACAGACCTGTTATTGCTCAATTTCTTTCGGCTGAACGCCGCAAATCCCTCTAAGAAGCTGTATACACAAAGAGTATGTACCAACTATTTAGTAGGTTAGAGTCTC